AAACTTGGATGTCTTTTTCCAGTAATAAACAAACACTGTTAAGTTGTTTTGATTGATACTGTGAAGCAGCTTTGATACAATCTGTATTGTGAAAAGCACTACATAAATATATTTGACTTGACTTGACTTGACTTGAATAATTATATAAATCATTATTACATTATTATAATAATTGTTTGGCATCCTAAAACACCATTGATAATGTAATGTAGACTGAGACTCTCATAACTAAAAAGATGTTTGAGCCCTGGTACAAGTCAATGCTTTTTCTTTGTTCAATGAGCAGTTCATGGGTTGAAGCTCTTAATTTTGACCTCTCAAAGAGCACCAGATTGGCATTTAACCTTAAAAAGTTCAACATTTTCTTGCGGGGGAGCATGCCCCCCAACCCCCCCAGAGGGACAGAGGTCCACCCAACATAGTTTTACAAAATACTATGTGAAAGAACAACCATGAACTTTACTCCAGCATAGTACAACAAAGTTCCTTTTAAGTCAGTAAAACTGTAAATGCCATATTAAAATGTCCTTGGACAAAATATACATTTGGCCTGCCTAAGAGGGGACCTACAAGACATTGTGGCCAGGGGCCTCTGAACTCTTACTCCGGCCCTGCCAGCGACGAGGGCCGGTGGTCTACGAAATGTCCCGGTAGATTTTTTGGTCCCACTCCACCCCTGAGAAGAGGTATGTTCAATGGCCTTTCAACATTCTTTTTAATTAATGTGCACTTTGTTCTTGCTTCTCTTACATTCAGAAAATTCAAGTTTGGTTATCTCTTGTACTGTAGATGTTGATAACGTACCTTTGTTCCCTGAGAGTAGGGAACTCACACTGCGTAGATGACGCTATGGGGAATGCCCTCCATGTGAACCGGTGTCTGAAAAACTATCCAATCACGGCAATCGAATTTGACCGGCGACAGCCTATAACTTCACTGCTAGTGCGACCCGGAAATATAAAAGGGGCGACTAGAGAACATGTCATCCACTTCTGAAGGGACTGTTAAGCAGGCATCCCCGAGGCATGGCTAACGATGCAGTGTCTCGTTCCCTGTTCTCAGGGCACAGAGGTTACAGTCGTAACCTAGACGTTCCCTTTCAAAAGGGAACTCGCACTGCCTCTGTTACTAGCTGCCTCAGCACTAGCTGGACCGGAATCGCCCGGCACAGATGTCTGTCCCTCTTCCCTTGAGAACAGGGCAAACAAGAGCAAAGTTTTCTCAAGGGAAAAAACTCACAGTTGGCACAAGTTGTGTGTGTCATCTGATGTCAATATCTTAGACACGGATCCACACACTTCTTGAAACGCTTATCACTTGCCATAATTGTTCTTACCTTTTTCAGATGATTGTAAATCAGACAGAACAGTACCGAAGACGAAAAGAGGATGACATGTTCTCTAGGCGCCGCTTTTATACTTTTTGGTCACTCTAGTAGTGACGTCACAAGCCGGTTAATTTCGATTGCCGTGATTGCATAGTTTTTCAGACACTGGTTCGTGTAAAGGGGGCACGTTCCCCAATAGCATCATCGACGCGGTGCAAGTTCACTTTCGAAAGGGAACATGAAGATATGTGACCTTTAGGACATTGGCTCAGTACAAAACATTTTATAGTGTAGCGCAAAAGTAAATTAACAGTATCTTTTAATATTTTGTATGGTATTATATTATACGGTTATGTATTATTTATTATACTCCGAAGCCCTTAAATATGCATGGGTGGCTGTGGCTTTACACTCACTTCAGAATTCAGGTGGTCTGCCTTGACTAGCAAACAAATTCCTATATTTATAAATGTATTTATTAATAAAATATATTCTGTAATGTATGAAATGCTACTCCCATGTCGAGTCTGCATATATGCTTTGAGAAAAACTACAAAATTATGTTATTTGGAGGAAATTGTTATGAATGGATTTTAGTGTTTTGTTCTTTGTCAGTATTTTTACCAGAGCAAGTCATAGGAAAATACAAAAAGGTCCTGAAGTACCTACCAAAACGGAGGCATACCAAAAGTGCGGTGCGGATAGGAAAACGATTGTCGATACGTCTGCCATTGCTGAGTTGGAAGCCTGTGACATCACAGCGTACAATAAATTACGTGCTGCGTTTCAAAAAGGGCAGAAGCTGTCCGACTTTGCAGACCGTTGCCGACAGTTGTGCACAGAGGAACCAGTGTGCAGTGCCATAGAGGAAAAAAAGAAAAATGGGGAGCTAATAGACATTCCACAAAAAACAAAAAAACATGTTGCCAGTAGATGTATGTACATTCTATCCTCAGAATCGAATTGTGTTTGAATGTTTTTATTTTATTTTATTCAGCCATTATGTTTGACTCAGTTTCTCATCACAGTTTGTTGAATGTGTTGAATGTTTAATTCCAAAATACAGAATATTTGTTTAGTTTATGGCTAGGTTTCATCATTGTACAAATTTACAATGTTTAATTCAGATATTATATTTTGAACAGTGCTTTATTCTTGCACGCCCAGTTGTGCATTTTTTGCATAATGCACTATTTTCTTTTACGATTACATGGAAATCTTCCAGTGCATATAATTAAAAAATGTTGGACCCAATCACTGCAGTTGTTTTATGTTTTATATAGTTTTTGTGGGGTGACATGTCAGTGAGAACATGTTTTTCACTTTGAAATAATGGGCCACATCACTAGTAGTTACTGCGGGATGACAAGGTAACGCCTGAGTAGTTAGTGAGGAGTTAACATGTTTTTCACTTTAGAATAATGGGCCACATCACGAGTAGTTCCTGCGGGATGACAAGGTAACGCCTGAGTAGTTAGTGAGGAGTTAACATGTTTTTCACTTTAGAATAATGGGCCACATCACTAGTAGTTACTGCGGGATGACAAGGTAACGCCTGAGTAGTTAGTGAGGAGTTAACATGTTTTTCACTTTAGAATAATGGGCCACATCACGAGTAGTTCCTGCGGGATGACAAGGTAACGCTTGAGTAGTTAGTGAGGAGTTAACATGTTTTTCACTTTAGAATAATGGGCCACATCACGAGTAGTTCCTGCGGGATGACAAGGTAACGCCTGAGTAGTTAGTGAGGAGTTAACATGTTTTTCACTTTAGAATAATGGGCCACATCACTAGTAGTTCCTGCGGGATGACAAGGTAACGCTTGAGTAGTTAGTGAGGAGTTAACATGTTTTTCACTTTAGAATAATGGGCCACATCACTAGTAGTTCCTGCAGGATGACAAGGTTGAAACTATTAGTTAATAGTATTAAGTTTGGTGTTAATGCAGTACTACCTATTACTTCCTGCATAGCTACTTGTTAACTACGGACCATTATTCTAAAGTGTTACCGAAATACTTAATATTCAACCATACATCAGCAAGGCATCCTGTTGGGTCCATGGCTGGAAAAATGTGTTTTATTGCAAAGCATACATACATCTTTATAAAATTGTAAATGACGATTGGTATTGTTTATATCTATGAAATTACAACTACAAATTCCACATTCACAAGTTTTTAGATGTGCATTAAAAGGAAAAATAGGTGTAAAACATGGTGAACATATTTGAACATGGTAACATTTAATTTTCCAAGAAATGTGATTTGATTTCTTTTTCTTTTTCAATCATTATGGGTTAGTCATTGAAGGCATAATGTTTTTTTTATTCTCATCATATTCACTGGCCATGTTTTTAAAAGTTTCCAATTATGATACGTAACATCACCGTTCACGTTATCATCTATAACCTTAACAAATTATCTGTAAGGTAACAGATATGCATATCACAACCGAACTTATAGAGGGTTTTCACAACACGTCATCAATCCGGAAGTCGGCCATGTTGACGGCACAGCATCAGCTCATGAAGTGTTGACAATGGCTATTATTTGAAGTCCAAATCCGATTATTTTTGTATCCGATTGGAATCTGATCTAAAATGATGTCCACATTACTCATTACAGCGAAATGGTCTTTCTGCTGGGCCTTAGGCCTGTCGCACCTCTTAGGCCTGTCCACACGGTGTATCGCAACTGTTCAGATCCGATTTGTGTGTCCATGCAGCTCTTTCATTTTCCGGAATATCTGCATTGGTTTCTATGGCAATGACGTTGCGTTGATGGAGGGGTTTGCATTTGCAATAGAGATGTTGTCTTATTTAAATTTTACAACATGGAAATGTGTAGCCGCCGCGCTGTAGGAGGCTGCTATGCACAGCTTTTTTTCTGCGCTCGTCACCACCGGTTTCAAAATATGTTTCAAAAATAATATTTTTCTGCTCGTCCCGGAACTTTGCAACAACACAGCCTTGTTTCGGCAGCGACTTTCAGCATGTTTCCTATAACAACATTATTCGTGTGATTTTTTTTGCTGTTCTAATTCTGATCAGATTTCAATCGGATATTAACAAAAATCAGATTTGGACTGACAGTCTGAACAGTCTATGTCGGGATAAGAAATAGAAGGAAGAATTATGAGGTCGTCAGTCCACGACTAAGAAGCTTGCCCAAGGTAACTGACCAAACCGTGACGTAGGTGCAAACCCTCTATACTTGCGTTCATGATGAACCGTGCGAAGTCTGTGGCTTTGCAAATGACTATGTATCTTGTGCATTTCACATGGTCTAAAAACACTGGTTGCACAAAACGGACATCGATACAAATCGCCGACTCTGAAGTCTTCAATGCAAACGCAGTCATTGCTTCGTCTCATTGTAACATGTCCACAACAACTAAATAATTACCAAAGCTGAAAGATGTAACGCAAAGGAAACAACAAATTATGATTCGTATACATGCATTACCAACGCCATCTTCTTTCAGTCTAAAGGAAATTAAGTATTTTTTTTTAGCTAAAGGAAATGACTTAGAAGTATGGTTACTGCTGATTGGCCAACGCAGTTGCCAGGAGGAAACTCCTTTCACCAATGAGAAACCTTTTGACACGCCCTCCCCCCACTACCTTTTGACACACCCTACCCTGTCAACACGTCCATTACTCCAAGCTGCAGCTTCCCCTGTCTCTTTATGTGCGGCTCATGTACGAGAGAGGAGGAGCTGATGCCTCCACCGCAAGATCATGTTTATTAAAGCAGATTTCACAGAAGTCTACAGCGGAACGAGGAACATTGTTTTACTCTCTGTGATCCTGGCATTTTTGAACGGTGAGTGGTAAATCTTTGTTGATAACGTTTCAGTATGTATCTTGCTTTCACTTTCTGGTCTTGCTCATCCACAAGTGAAGTTGCAAATCAGACATGCAAATTCCCTTCCTCTCGTCTAAACACGGCGAGTGAGCACGAGAAGAACTATCATTCCAGAAAATGTAGTCATGTTATTCAGCCTTTTCCAGACTGGAAACACCTATCATCCTGCAGGGACCATATTTGGCCACCTGGTTTGCCTGAGGGGGAGATTTCCTTAATTCACATTCAAGTCATCCGCAGATCCATGTACAGTTTCTTTGTATTCTTTTCACCGCTTTTGCTTTTACATCAGATATTTTGCTGTTAGTTTTGCAGGTCAATATTTTGCATTTGTTACACCATATATTGAATAAAGAAAAACTTCAATAGTGACCACTAACAGGCCCTAAAAAATACACTTTCATCTTGGTATTACTATCATTATGAGGACTTTCCATTGACTTCTATTGTTTTTATTCCAGTGGCGGAGCCCGCATATTTTCATGGGTGTCCAGGCAACTAACAAACGAATTTGACTATAAAGTACTGGACTGTTAGTTACCTACAACACAACTGAATACAATTAATTGTACTTAATTGTAATTGAGGCAGTGGTGGAATAAATCAAGTAATACTGAGTGAACTGAGACCTTTTTTTTTTTGTTTCTTAATCCTAGACTGTAAGATCTGTCAGTGCAACTGAAAAATGAAACACTGAATGTTTCACATTCAATTATTTGCAACTTGCCAAAATAAATTTGCAACAATTCTATCATACTTAATAAACTCATTACACAGGATAAAAACATGTTCTCATTTTAATCCCCATTAGCAACAATGTGAATATGATAAAGGCGGCAACACATAAAACAAATGCCATAGTGTAAAAATATATGTAATTTTATAAACACAATTTGTAATCTGCCTGTCAGGACTCTGGTTTGATCTTCAGCCTTTCTGCTGTGTTTATCTTGTGTCTTGATTGTCAGTTCACCTCACTCTACCATCACAGCTGAATCCTATCCTAATTAGTGCTCTCACTCTCAGTGCTCACACACCTGTTTCTCATTTTTTGCACTGATTTTCTCCACTACTTGCTTCTCTCTTTCTTTGTTTCTTTGTCAGTGTGCCTTGGTTTCCGTCCGTTTCACCACTGTCCCCTCGCCTGAAAGTATTGTTTTGGTTGCTTCTAGACCCTTTAAAGCCTTGTCTGATTATTTATTTTGTTTTGCTGTTTTATTTGCCTAGTTCCTGTTCCCTATCTCATCTCAGCTTCCTCAACCGGTTTGTGACCCCCCTGCGCTCGTCCTGGATTATTGCCTTGGCTTTTTCCCTGAAACGGTTGTTCTGCTACTGGTTTTGACCTCAGCCTGTCCATTGGATTTCGCCTCTGTCTCGCTCCCTTACTTGGTGGCTCGGCTACTAATTTATTTTGTTTTGTATTGTGTTCCTTCAACCTGTTTGGACAATAAATCCTATTTTCAGTTGATCTGCTCTTGGGTTCCTGTTGTCTCTGCCCCACCCTAACACTGCCAACTACCGCAAAATGCTGAATGTTTTCGAGTACAGATTAACTGGACTTTTTATTTTTGCATTAAATGACAGATATAAATTTAATTTAATTTGTGCCTTCTATTAAAAGGAATGAACACTTGAAATATATGTGTGGAATGAATGAATATAATATCCAAGTGTCACTTTTTGAATGGAATTACTGAAATAAATCAACTTTTTGATGATATTCTAATTATATGACCAGCACCTATATATTTGTTTTCTACTATCAAACAGCTTCTATACATATATAATCATAGATATTTAATTTCTCCTTCCAGACGTCTGTCTGTTATTTATTCACCTCTGCAGTAACTTTGATCAGTATTCATTAAAGTCAGATTTTATTTTTATGCTTTTATCCATAACTTTCTATATTTGAAATGTGACTTTTTACATTTACTGATCTGCATAGTTGCAGTGGTAACACTTTATAATTCTGTTCCATCATTAATGAATAACTACACAGGAACAAATGAGTAATGCACTATTAACATTCTAGTAACTACTATTAACTAACAAGAAACTCTGATTAATGAATTAGTAATTAATAGCGCTCAGTCGAATGTGGTTGTTCACTATTAGCTAATCAGTAACTATTTTACATACCTCACTAAAGACTGCTAAAAACTACTATATACAGGTTCATAATTAATATTAATAATATATTATGTATATTATAAGCTAATGGTAACCCCTTAGTAATGACTAAAGTCAAGTGTTTCCAAATCCATCAGAAGGAATTACTATTCAAAATCCTCAATAGCTTACAATGACTTCATTCAATATTAGGTAGTTATCATGTTTTTCACTTTAGAATACTAGAAAGATGTAACACTTGATTCATTACTAGTAAGTTACCGTTACCTTTTATTATAAATTATGCTTTATTCATGTTAATTATGAACCTGTATAGTAGTTCTCAGGAATGAAAAAAGTAGTACTTATTGATTAGCTAATAGTGAACTACCACATTCAACAGAGCACTATTATTTACTAATTTATTATCCAGAGTTTCTTGTTAGTTAATAGACCAATTTCCAGCCGACGTCACAGTTACGTCACGGCGCTAGCTGGTGGCAGAACAAAGTGAAAACTGGAGGCGGCAAATACAAACCAGCACAGATTCGGCTACAAAATAAGGATCTTAAATTATTCTTCTTCTTATTAAATGTCATCTTGTTGTGTTGTTGGGTGCAAGAATCAATGAAAAATGAATATGCTTTATCTGCAATTTTTTATTTCTAGAAAATATTCGCCTCATTAAAATTGCACCGTAATGTCACTCTTTACATTGTCGTCTTCATCGCGCTGGCTCGGCAGAACTGCGGATCGTACCACACAAGTCTTGTACTTGACCATTCAGCACATAGTTATAGGCATCTAAAGATTTACATGCCCTCCGTTTCTCTATCAGGTAGGTGTAGAAGTCAGGCCACTCAACCGGAGGTAGCGTTAACGTTAATCCTGTCAGATCCTCAATCAATGAGTGTAAGGGTCGGCCGGTTCCGTCCGTTAAAATTAACTTTTGCAAATAACAATCGCGGTCCTGGACAGTGAGCGACCTTGCACATTAAGATAAAATCGGATTTTCTCCAGTCATTGTTAAAAACAAGCTAACAAAACTTGCAGACTTTACGTTAGTGAAGCGGCCAGAGGGATCGTTCTGCCACCACCTAAGCTCCGCCCACAGAAAAACGTCACCATGTTTACCAACTGAAAATTGGTCTATAGTAGTTACTAGAATGTTTATAGTGCATTACTCATGGGTTCCTGTGTAGTCATTCATTAATGAAGGAACAGTATTATAAAGTGTTACCGTTGCAGTTACAGAATGAATGTTCGAACTGATGATATCGACGACATCAGCCTTATCAAGGATGAATCTTTGAGGAACTGTTCCTGTTCGCAGGTGTGTCTGGTGAGGCAGCAGAAGCAAAGAAACAGTCAGTTTTGGAGGGAGATTCTATTACTTTACACACTTACCTTACTGAAATACACAAGGTTGATCTGATGTTGTGGATGTATGGAGCTCAAAGCTCTATTATCGCTAAACTCAATGGAAAAAGTCAGAGGATTTCATTTTATGATGTCGATGATGGGAGATTCGGAGACCGACTGCAGCTGGACATTCAGACTGGTTCCCTCAGCATCAGTGACGTCAGGACCAAACACTCTGGAGATTATCAGCTAAAGATCATCAGTACTGAGACCTCTTACAAGACGTTCAGTGTGACCGTCCATGGTGAGTAGCGCAGGTCTAATCATTTTATTTGGTCTGTTGTTTGCACACAATTACAGTAGCCGCGTTTCCATTGCATAATTGAGCAAATTGACAAAAAACTATTTAGAAATGACTGTGTTTCCATTGCATGTTATGCGCCTAAAACTTAATTTTTTCCTCTCACGATAATCATTCCAAATATCATGCCGGTGGATATTGGTTGGTTTATCGCAGCCACTGCACTAGCCATTATTTCAATGGAAGGAGAAGTAGTTGTGTTTTCAAACATTAATGTAGAGGAAAGACTCTTATACTGGGAGCGGCACATGAGAGGAGTTTCTGGGTGTTTCTCCCTCATATTTGCTTAAGCTCTTGATAAACTGTGGCATTTCTTTGTTGTTTAGAATCAAGTATTCCATACTTTTATTCCACACAAGTATTCCATACTGATACTTTTGTCTTTTATGAGTTTAATGAATAACTCTGCCTCATCTTCTGTTCAAATATACTGCGCCATCTTTAAAGAATGATCGACTTTTACGTACACCAGATGACCTGTTAATGCGCAAAAACTTTTTTCCATTGTAGTTTTTCGAAATTGCCTGAAAAACCACCTCATACGAGCATAAAAACTTTTTTGCGATATATGAGAGGAATTGCGAAATTGATGTGTTTCCAATGGGCGTATTTTCAATTCGCAATTTTAATTCGCGTAATTTGAAGGGTAATGAAAACGCGGCTAGTGACACATGCATAACTTTCAGTGTTGGGGAGTAGTTAACTACAAGTAGCGACGCTACTAACTTAACTTCATTTTTCAGTAGCTTGGCAGTAGCTCAGTTGCTTTTTAAACAGTGTAGCTTTTCCAGTAGCTAACTACTTTTTGCAGCAAGTAGCGGTGTAGCGCGAGCAAAAGCTACATTGTGTTTTGTTGAGCCTGCGCGAATCAGCGCGATGCAAGGATATTCTTCTTCTTGTTAGATTACAAACTAATTTGTTTTGCCATTACCGCCACCTGTTGTTTATTCACGCATCTTGCGGCTAACGGTTCACTGACGTACAGAAGACCTCAAGCACAAATTTAAGGACGCACATACAGGTGATTAATGGCCACTTTAAATGTATTAATTATCCTGCTTTATTGCTCTCTATGTTACATCAAATTTCTATTTCTGATTTAATTACAATGAACCGCCATGATCTGTCCGCCAGTTTGGTAATGAACATAAAAGACCACTAAACTAAAGTTTGCGCCATCGTGTTTGTCAGTTGAACAAAAAATGTAATCTTAGTTTGTTTATCGCACGACAAAGGCTTTGATCTAATTAAATTGGTGTATAGATGTGTTGTGACTGGATCCAGAGCGAACCGAACTGTGCTCACAAGCAGCTTGTGATTCAGGTTCTTCTTTCACAGTAAATTCTGCGAGCTCCATCACTGCATGTGAGCGAGTTTAACGTGCATTGTCAGTGCCACATGTGAGCGCTTGTTCAATGTATTTTCTTGCCAAAATGCAACCATCTCACAATCGGTATTTTTGAGAAAAAGTCTATACATGCAATTTACGTTGGATGTATATTTTGTTCTTGCAATGTTGTATTTGTTGCAATTTTGCACTTTTGACAAACAGTCTGAGATATTTGAGTGTTGTGTGTAATAAAACAATAAAAATCATAATTGTATTGCATTGTTTACTTAAAACATTCCTCAGACACTTATTCAGTTATTTATAATATATGTTGTTAAAAAAAGCAAAAGTAGTTTCAATGTAGCTAGCTACTTTTTGATCGTAACTTGTAGTGTAGCTAACTACTTTTCCAAAAGGATAGCTTGACTGTAGTTTAACTACTTTAACTAACGAGTAGCTTGTAGCTTGTCAAACTACAGTTTCAAAGTAGCTTCCCCAACACTGATAACTTTCAGCAGTGAAATCTGAAATCTGTTCCTGTTTGTTCTCCAGATGTGTTTTTTGCTGGGATAACAAACAAGAAAGAGGGAGAATCCGTTACTCTACATACTGGTGTTAATGAAATACAGAAACATGATGCGATTCTTTGGATGTTTGGACCGTTGATTCCAGACACTTTCGTAGCTGAAATCAACATTACAATCCATAAGATCTCATGCAGTGATGACAGACTACGGCTGGATGATCAGACTGGATCTCTGACCATCACAAACACCAGAACCACAGATACAGGAGTGTATCAACTACAGATCACCAACACTAAAGAGACCTTCTACAAGAGATTCAATGTTTTTGTTGGTGAGTAGATTTTTACATTTTAACGATCCTTCTTACGTTGCATTTTTTTATGCTTGGTAATTAATTAATACTAACAATGATTTGTTCAAATTATATGGTGATGTATTATAGAACATGTGTGAAAAGATTTTAACATTTATAATGTTTGCATTCATGATTCTTTTTGTGTGAAATACCTTGAAATTTTTAGGTATTTATATATTTTATATATATTATATATTTTTTAAAATATATAGTAAATTAAGAATATCCATTCATCACTGTCATAAACACTTAAGCAATCAAGTGTATTTGTGTCACCGGTCCTACTCGAACCAGGGTCTCTGGTGTGGGAGGTGGATGCACTAATAAGGCTGGATGACCACAGTCAGTTGGACAAACAACAGCTCTTACTGGCCTACCACAGTTACACTCACCCCCCTTAACCTCATCCCCATCCGGGGTCAACGGCACCAAATGTAACCGGTCCTAGTATCGTGAAGTCGTGTTGATGTTGTTCACTCACCGGTTTGATGATCAGATGCACCGTATGCAGCTTTTAACAAAATCCACTTATTTAAAACTCCTTAAATTATATTGTAACAACCGCATGGAATACAAGAACAGGACACAAGGATGACAGTTAACACACAATTCTTTAATAATGACTAAAACACAACACAATCTCATAAAACACGTTACCCCCCTTGGACCCCACGTAGACGGGCTCACATTTAGCGGGGAATATACAATATAATTCCCTTTGTCATTACAAGTTTTTTTTTTTAAATGTAAAAATTGAGTGTTCATCAGAGAGCGTCCAAGACCCTAGGATTTTTGTTGCACTTGAACCACGAATACACACACACAAAAAAAAATAGTTTTGGGGTAGTTTTGTGGTTGAAATTTAAAAAGTAACAAATCCTTCCCTCGCGGGTCAGTTTGAGGAATGAATATAATGCAAGGTATGCTTTAGTACACAGAAACACTTAAAAATGCTCAAAATTCAAACAAAAAATGCTAAAAACCTATCCAAAAAATTAGGGGTCACCGTGAAGACGGGTGTCAGATTGTTTTCATAGCCTCGGCACAATACGGCACATTTGATTAAACTGTTTCAGTGTTCACAAAGCCTCGATCTGCCCACCACTATTGCTTGTCCTTTCTTTCTTTTTCTTTCTTGAATAATCAGCTTCACACGCATCACCTGTACACATTAATATCATTAGGAAGCACCCATTCACACAGACTAAGTGTGTACGTTAAACATACCCAAATTGAAATAATTTCCTTCTATTCATCACAATATTTAATTAATTAGAATATTACTTAAGACCAATACAAAAAAAAAGGATTTTTAGAAATGTTGGCCAACTGAAAAGTATGAACTTGAAAAGTATGAGCATGTACAGCACTCAATACTTAGTTGGGGCTCCTTTTGCCTGAATTACAGCAGCAATGCGACGTGGCATGGAGTCGATCAGTCTGTGGCACTGCTCAAGTGTTATGAGAGCCCAGGTTGCTCTGATAGTGGCCTTCAGCTCTTCTGCATTGTTGGGTCTGGCGTATCGCATCTTCCTCTTCCCAATACACCATAGATTTTCTATAGGGTTAAGGTCAGGCGAGTTTGCTGGCCAATTAAGAACAGGGATACCGTGGTCCTTAAACCAGGTACTGGTAGCTTTGGCACTGTGTGCAGATGCCAAGTCCTGTTGGAAAATGAAATCTGCATCTCCATAAAGTTGGTCAGCAGCAGGAAGCATGAAGTGCTCTAAAACTTCCTGGTAGACGACTGCGTTGACCTGGGACCTCAGAAAACACAGTGGACCAACACCAGCAGATGACATGGCACCCCAAACCATCGCTGACTGTGGAAACTTTACAATGGACTTCAAGCAACGTGGATTCTGCAGTCCAGTCCTTTTTGTCTTTAGCCCAGGCGAGACGCTTCTGACGCTGTGTCTTTTTCAAGAGTGGCTTGACACAAGGAATGCGAAAGCTGAAACCCATGTCTTGCATACGTCTGTGCTTTGTGGTTCTTGAAGCACTGACTCCAGCGCACGTCCACTCTTTGTGAATCTCCCCCACATTTTTGAATGGGTTTTGTTTCACAATCCTCTCCAGGGTGCAGTTATCCCTATTGCTTGTACACTTTTTTCTACCACATATTTTCCTTCCCTTCGCCTCTCTATTAATGTGCTTGGACACAGAGCTCTGTGAACAGCCAGCCTCTTTAGCAATGACCTTTTGTGTCTTGCCCTCCTTGTGCAAGATGTCAATGGTCGTCTTTTGAACAGCTGTCAAGTCAGCAGTGTTCCCCATGATTGTGTAGCCTACAGAACTAGACTGAGGGGCTGTTTACACCTGGCCACTTCATGCGTTTTCTGTGATCGGATAGCTATCCGATCGTGAAAAGACCAGATTTAAATGCCCTCCGAAACGCATTCGAGACGGATTTGAATCCGATCGCTCACACCACTTCAGGAGGAGGTCTGGGCCGCATTCCAGACAAAACTGGACAAGTGTAAATGCATCTGGTTGTTGAAACCACCATGTAAATTTTACTCCTCCCAAAAATGCTAAAAAAGTAAACGTGTGAGAGCGTGTTATAGGCTATATGTCATGTTATAGTCAGATATGACGACGACCCTACTGCAACATGTATTACCGCAGATGAGCAGCTGAGCGTCTATTCATCAAGCCAACTCGCCAAAAATTATCGCAAATCAAAGTGAAAGTATGTCGCAGACGCTTAACACGCAATCATCTTCATTTAAAGTAAAGAAACGTCTCGGTTACGTATGTAACCCTCGTTCCCTGAAGGAGGGAATGGAGACGTAGTCTGAGCGTGATCCCACTGGTTCCACCAGTGCATACGAGTGATAGGCCTGGCTTCGGACGTTCCGCCATGTCCATTGCCGAAGGGTATGGAGGAACTCGACTGGGTTCGGCTAAAAAGGGAAACTCAACTGGAGCAAGAATTGCGCACGTATCCAGTCCATAGGAGGGGAATGGCGCAGCAAGCCGACACAACGAACCGGGCTTACAGTGAAACTGGCTTCATGTGGAGGGAGCCCACGGGAAGCAGCGGTGCGACTTAGGTGTCGCCCAGCCCTCAACTCTTGAATATCTGTCAGCGAAGCACTCTGTGTCAACGCCTAAGCGGGAGCACACACTCATTTAAGAGGAGTGTGTTTAGAATGTGTTCAGGCGTTGTTGTTGTTTTTTTTAGAATTATTTACTTGCTATTATTACATAAAATTATTATTCATTACTTTTTTGTTTACCTTATCAAAGATTTTATTTTAAAAACTACATTTTAGTGACAGTACACTGTATTTAAAAGAAATGTTGCAATTTTATAGCAAAAAATAAAACAAATAAATATCGGTTCTATATATCGGTTATCAGACAAATAATTGGTATCGGTTATAAAAAAAAAAACAATATCGGTCGATCTCTATGTGAGTTTGAATTTAATTAGCCTACAATGAAACACATTAATAGTACATTAATATGTATGATAGGCCTTTTTAATTAACGTATGTTTTTATGTATCAATGCAGAATTGTTCACTTCAGCATCGCAATACATTGAAAAAACGATTCTATTCCACAGCTGTAATATGCAACACAACCGATTCTGTTAAAATCTCAGAAAATGTAGTTCAGTGATTCATCACTAATCTAAATCTAAAACACCGTTTTAAACTGAAACCGGAAAACTTTGTATGCATTTTGCCCGTTCATTTACACGACAACTGCATTTTTGGGGCTTGAGAACGAAAGCTTTTTAAAACGATGCCGTTATCGTCTCTGTGCAAACTACAAAAACGCGAATCTGTGACAACGGTGACGTTGTGCGCATTCATATTACATGTTCACCCATATGTATTACGTGCTTGCGTGATTATTGAATAAGGGACATCACCAACTACTGGCCTGGCATGCATAATAAAGCCTTTTTAGTCATATTCGCAGATCCGTGTGAACGGGGATCGTTTTGACAACGTTGTTGTCTGTTTTTAGTACATTGTTGTCGTGTAAACACACCCTTAATCCCTCAGATTTGTTGAGATTGTATTTAACTCATATAGTTTTCATGTAAGCTCAGACGTACAGGACTTATTTACACTAATGACTGTCTCTCTCTAGCTGTTCCTGAGCCAGGTCCTTCTTCAGGAGGTTTAGCCACACTCTGTTTCTGTGTGCTGCTAGTTGTGGCTGCAGCTGTAACCGCTGGTGTGTGTTACTATCGCCGCAAGTACTCTCGACTAAAGGGTAAGTAGTACAGAGTCAAGTTTCCTCCTTGATCTATTTTATGGTGCGTTCACGTGCTATGGAAAACATGATATTTTCCACTTGTGAACTGGTATTTACCAGTGTGTTGCGTTCAAGTGCTTTTGTTGTCGTAATGTGGTAAAAAGATGGCGATCCAGACCTGTTATTTAGCTAAAACTATTTTAGATTGCTTAAGTCATCTGCTACAGCAAGAAAATGATTTATCAAAACTCAAACGGTAAATAATATGCTGTATATTTTCTAGATCATGAATAGTACATATTTTTATCATTCACGACTCTCGCGTTGCTCTCCGCCATTTTGAAAAGGTCAAAGGTTATCTCATCTCGGCAACTCGTGCATCAAAATATTCTACGAGCTGCCTAGTGGAAAATACCACATGAGGGGGTGTTCATGTGCATTTTTCACGTCGGCTTTTGGTATTTACCATAATTACCATAGCACGTGAACGCACCATAAGTCATTAAAAGATTTCAAGGAAATAATTTAACACCATAAGAGTAAGAAACCATTATTGTGTTCTCTAGAGAGATTGAGGCCTTGTCTACACTAGTAAGTTTTCGTTTGAAACACTAAGACAGCGTTTTTATTAAAGCTGCAGTCCGTAGCTTTTTTAAGTTAAAAATAATCCAAAATAATTATATTAAAAAAAACTTATTCTGCCAGTGGTCAAAACTATCTGCTTGCCATAGCTAGATTCAAAACGGTTAGCTTGTAATAATGATTTTAATTCCAGTGGTACTGGTGGGTTTCCGCGGGAAATTCGAGCATGTCTTTGCGTCATGACGTCACACCCGTACACATAAAGAAGGAGTTTCGGCTAGCCGGCTATACTGCGCGTGAGGAGATGTTTAGATGTATAGGCTTTTCTTGCAGCACTTTACATAATTAAACTTATGGCATCCAGAAAGATCCAAACAACAATCATCAGTGTCAACTGGAGATTCAGCAGTTATAAAACCCAAAAGACTTCGTACTTCGGATTTAAGGTGGCTAGAGAAAGAGAAAGAAACCGTCTCATGCGAACACAAGGATTTAAACATCGGCGGGGCTTTTGAAAAGTGCGTGAACTCCGTGTTTTGAAGGGGTTCAAAACGGAAGAAGAGACGGCTTTTTTCTGCTGAACAAGTAAGTTAAGACATTTCAATAGTTCAATCGTGTAACAGTACGTTTTCCTAATTCACACAGTTATGGAGTTTCCTTTGTTGTGCCTTTCTCGTTTTGCTATTATGGAGAATATGAATTCTGAACTACACAGGTAACCATAAAACACATTAAATTTAACATTAGTCACGCAATGCTGATGTAGTTAACATGAACAATTTGAGAACAAAGTAGGCTATAATTTGCACGGTTGCTGTAAATCGCGTTGATTAAATCTAACGAAGCTTATCATGTCGAATGCTTTTTCTCCCTTAGTTGGTCAGAACAAAAATGGATGTTACTTACTTGTTCAGAAGACATTTTCTTATGAAAATTCTTATGTTGGTCAAACTTTCAAAAAGTGAATCTGTGATTCTGTATGACAGTATCCACACAGCGCGGTGACTGACAGCACCACTCGCCTCAAAACACTGTGTTCATCCGCGCTGTTTCATGTCGATTTACAACCCACGTAAAGATGATAATTCCGCGAATCACTGCCGTTACAGATTTCGAACAGAGAGATGGCGACAAAGAGGAAAAGCTACGGACTGCAGCTTTAATGAAAATTAAGCTTTTTGAAAACGCTCTCCAAAGTGGATACATTTGAAAATTTGTTTTTGCGTTGTAGTGTGGACTGTCAAAACGGATGTATTTACAAATGATGATGTAAGTTTAGTCATGTGATGGCATATTGTACCAATAGATATTCATGTTTATACCGGTATTGTGACTGTTATGTGCTATTCACTTTCACATTGTTGCTAAAATATGTTACTTTGCACACTCTTCATATCACAGTCCTGCAAAGATACAGAATTTACTCACATTTGCTGTCCTGCATCAAAACATCAGAGCAGTTGCGTTTTAGACCAAACATATGGTAACTGAGAGTGAATATCTATGAATATGAATCAGTGAATGGTGAGATATTTTGCTAAATAAAACGATCCTGTCCGAAGAATTGTGCTATAACTTCATTTATTTTCCCGTCTGTATTGTCTCAGTGAGCTTTTGTGAGGTTTTATGCATGCGCAGAAAGGTGAATTTAGCATTTTCCAAAAGTTTCTCATCCACACTGAAACGTTGGAAAACACGTGGACGGAGAGCATTTTTAAGCGAAAACGCCGTTTTCAAATGTATCCGGATTAATGTAGATGTAGCCTGAGAGAACTGGGCATTTACAAGCTATTAAACTACAGCTTTTCAGATTAACATCGATGGAGTTCTTGGTTGATTTCGGGTTAGGTGTTTTGCTCAAAGGGAACTCAGTCATTTCCTCCTGGTACTGAGAATTTAACCCGCAACCTTCGGGTTACCAGTCGGACTCGTCTGCTTGCTGATATCACTGACAGTTATATACATTTTATTTCTGAAAAATTTCCTTTTCCTTCCCTGGGTGCTGTGAATAGATGAAAGGAAGACAAAAGAAGTTACAGAGGGAGATTCTGTCACTCTACACACTGGTATAACTGATCTACAGAGATATGATAAAATACTCTGGAGTTTCGGACCTAGAGGCTATGTCATCGCTCAAATTTCTGTAAAGACCAATGAGACCTCACTTGGAGATGACGAGAGATTCAGAGACCGATTGCAGCTGAACAGTGAGACTGGAGATCTCACCATCAGAGACGTCAAAATCACACACTCAGGAGATTATCAGTGGAAGCTCTTCAGCACCAGAGAGACCAAATCCAAAAGATTCAAGGTTGTTCTCTATGGTGAGTAGCTCAATCTTTCAGTATAAACAGTATTATCAACTCTAGCCTTGTTGCTTTTGCTGCATGTTATTAGGGGCCAATCACTGAGGGTGTGTTAGCTTACTTCCAAAGTCATGAAACGGCGAGTGGGGAGTCTAGGGAGTGTCTTGGCAGCTGCCAATGATGATGATACTCCAAAGGCTGCTTGTCAGTATGAATGATATAAACCAACTCTGACGTTCAGATTTGAAGATATCCCTCTTTGGGTTTGGGTTGGTAGGGTGCTCTAAATGGTTGCTAGGGCGTGGCTAGACAGTTAGCAGGTTCAAACTAATAGACTGAATGTCTGCACAAATCAAACAAGTCAAACTCGCTTGACAGTCCTAAAGCTCGTCCTGGGTTGACATTTCATTCAGTAGCATTAGCCAGTTTTGATTTATATGCTGTTTAATATTTAATATCAGCAGAGAAGAGGTGTGTTTTCGACTTTGAATCAGAGCATGAAGAAAGTAAGGAGCAAGTTATTACATTTTGGTTAAATTATGAAATTTTTTATGACACGTTCATGTGCTAATCGTTCATAATTAGACAGGCAACATGCAATAAGAAAACCGGGTCAATTGTGATTTTATTGTTGACTTTAGTCAAAAAACATTTTCAATTCAAATCACTTTCTACATTTTTCATCCACTTATCTTCGCATGATGGTCTTCCACAGATTTAATTAACAATTCACCTTAATGTGGTCAGAGCAGTGTTGCAGATGGTATCCGCATGCTTTTGACATGATGAACTGTTTGCTCATGGGGATTCAGGTTTGAATCTGGTCGGAGTTATTAAACGTATAAACTATTAATCCTCTGGTGCTCTTCGTGTGGCGGTAAAAATCACAGAAATTATTTTATTTCAATAAAAACATTTTATTTCAATGATTTTAATGTACTATATTTTAGAGCGATAATGTTTTTTATTTAATATTTTGTTTTTTAAGGGATTTTATGGTTTTAAATTATATTTAAAATCTGATATTTATATGAATTTATAATCCATTTATTCACTTTTTGAGCATAGACCTTCCAGATTAGATTTCCAATTTAAACTGTGGTAAATCTTGGATGCTTTAGAGCACAGACTTAAGTTTGATCTCTTTTCAAAGATGACCCTTGGCAGATTATGAAAAAATACTATTTTCTATATGAAATATATAGACTCACCTAAAGGATTATTAGGAACACCTGTTCAATTTCTCATTAATGCAATTATCTAATCAACCAATCACATGGCAGTTGCTTCAATGCATTTAGGGGTGTGGTCCTGGTCAAGACAATCTCCTGAACTCCAAACTGAATGTCAGAATGGGAAAGAAAGGTGATTTAAGCAATTTTGAGCATGGCATGGTTGTTGGTGCCAGACGGGCCGGTCTGAGTATTTGACAATCTGCTCAGTTACTGGGATTTTCACGCAGAACCATTTCTAGGGTTTACAAAGAATGGTGTGAAAAGGGAAAAACATCCAGTATGCGGCAGTCCTGTGGGCGAAAATGCCTTGTTGATGCTAGAGGTCAGGGGAGAATGGGCCGACTGATTCAAGCTGATAGAAGAGCAACTTTGACTGAAATAACCACTCGTTACAACCGAGGTATGCAGCAAAGCATTTGTGAAGCCACAACACACACAACCTTGAGGCGGATGGGCTACAACAGCAGAAGACCCCACCGGGTACCACTCATCTCCACTGCAAATAGGAAAAAGAGGCTACAATTTGCAAGAGCTCACCAAAATTGGACAGTTGAATACTGGAAAAATGTTGCCTGGTCTGATGAGTCTTGATTTCTGTTGAGACATTCAGATGTTAGAGTCAGAATTTGGCGTAAACAGAATGAGAACATGGATCCATCATGCCTTGTTACCACTGTGCAGGCTGGTGGTGGTGGTGTAATGGTGTGGGGGATGTTTTCTTGGCACACTTTAGGCCCCTTAGTGCCAATTGGGCATCGTTTAAATGCCACGGCCTACCTGAGCATTGTTTCTGACCATGTCCATCTCTTTATGGCCACCATGTACCCATCCTCTGATGGCTACTTCCAGCAGGATAATGCACCATGTCACAAAGCTCGAATCATTTCAAATTGGTTTCTTGAACATGACAATGAGTTCACTGTACTAAAATGGCCACCACAGTCACCAGATCTCAACCCAATAGAGCATCTTTGGGATGTGGTGGAACGGGAGCTTCGTGCCCTGGATGTGCATCCCACAAATCTCCATCAACTGCAAGATGCTATCCTATCAATATGGGCCAACATTTCTAAAGAATGCTTACAGCACCTTGTTGAATCAATGCCACGTAGAATTAAGGCAGTTCTGAAGGCGAAAGGGGGTCAAACACAGTATTAGTATTGTGTTCCTAATAATCCTTTAGGGGAGTGTATTTTCAAAAATATGTTTTACTCTAAAACTGTAATGAAAATCAAAGCCATAAACAAGTTGTGTTCAAAATGTGAGCCTGATATCTCAGAAAATGAGCTTTCAGTGAGATGTTGTTTGGCTGCAGAACCAAAAGTTTCCACTAGATGAAATTCGTCTCCCATTAATTTCCAATGCGCTCATTTTTGACCTCGAGGAGCACAAGTGTGACTATTTCTTTCAGGACCATTTAACTTGTTCGAATCATCATGTCCATGATTTTTTTTTTCACATAGCAAGTGCCAAAACCTTTACCAAGTTTCGTACCATTCCGATAAAGTAAAAAAATTCTAAAACAAATGTAAAATTGTAAGAGCACCAGAGGATGATATTAAAACATATAAAGCTGAATGCGCTTAACATTGCACATATGCCTTGTGTTCAGTATTCAGTAAACTCAGTTTCACCAGCTCACTCTTATTTGTTCTCATGTTCACATTTCTTCATGCAGTGGACTCACTACGATTCTCAGAGGGAGAAAACGTCACTCTAGACACTGGTGTTAGTGAACTACAGAGGGATGATCAGATTCTCTGGAGGTTTGCATCTGAAGACACCATTATAGCTAAAAGAGATAGAAACACCAATCAAACAACCGATCCTGATGGGAGATTCGGAGACAGACTACAGATGGATGATCAGACTGGATCTCTCAGTATCACAAACACCAAAATCACAGACTCTGGAGATTATCACCTACAAATCAGCAGCAGAGATAAAGTCTCGTATAAGACGTTTAGAGTTACAGTATGGTGTGAGTAGCTCAAGTCTTTTATTGAAATTATGATACCCTTATATTCAGCATTCAGTGAACTGGGATGTTCACATGCACACTCTTATGATCATATTTTTTCTATTGCATGTGGTGCCGTGGCATGAAGTGGATACACTGAAAGTGACAGCGGGAGACTCAGTCACTCTAAACACTGATATAACCGACCTAGAGGAAGACAGTAAGATACTGTGGACACATGGAGATAATGACACTTGCATTGCTAAAATCAACAGAGCCACCGGTAAGACCTCAGTGTATCGTGGTAATGATGTGAGATTCAGGGACAGACTTCAGCTGGATCATCGGACCGGATCTCTGACCATCTGGAACATCAGCATCGCACATTCTGATGTTTATAAACTTCAGATTATCAGCCACACAGGAAGGACTCAGTGTATCGTGGTAATGATGTGAGATTCAGGGACAGACTTCAGCTGGATCATCGGACCGGATCTCTGACCATCTGGAACATCAGCATCGCACATTCTGATGTTTATGAACTTCAGATCATCAGCCACACAGGGAATATATGCAAGAGATTTGCTATTATTGCCAAAGGTGAGAATATCATGTCTTTTAACGTGATAATGATTTGTTTAGATCTACAATTTTGATGCTCTGAAATGAACTAACCTTCAAAGACAAACTGCATCTAACCCGCTATAGGTCTGTATTGTGTGACTTTGCTGTTGACAGCATTTTTCTGCAGTGCGTTAGAAACTTGGGAATACAGACTTTTTTCAGTACATACAAGACAATGCACTTTTCAGAATGGAGAATCTTGAAAGTAAAGATCAGTGTTGGGGGAAACTCAGTACAAGTAACTTGAGTTACATAATATTTAAAATATTTTTTTGGAAATTGAAGTAATGCGTTACTTTACTAGTTACGCATTACTTCAATTTCCAAAAAAAATGTAAGTTAATTTTTCTAATAAGTAACACTAGTTACTTTTTCACATTTAATGACTGAAAGCTCTCCTGTCCCCATGTTGAGAGGAATAAAGTGAGGAGGTGTGTGTTCGTTGTGTAAACATGATGGTTATTTTAGTTAGACTAAATGTGAACATGCATTTACTCATCTCACGTGCAAGAAAACATTCAGTATTCCTCAAAATGAATAAAAACAGTAAAATGCAATCTCAGAATTTTACTCAACTTTTATAAATAACTATTAAATAACACCAATATACTTTATGTATTTAATCTCACTTTATTAACCAATGTCTTTGCTGCTAACCTTCAATTATCTAATTCAACCATACTAATAAGCAAAAAATACTTAAGATTATATTTAGAAATAAGAGTGTTGAACTTCCTTCTCCTGTATCCTAATATTTTTTAATCCAGAATATCAGCAGCGGAGAGGTGTGTTTGAGCGGCGCCCTCTACTGTACAGGAGTGAATATGCAGAAAGTAAAACAAGTAAATTCCACTAGCAGATTGTAATGACTGGCAAAAATGTTGATAAATCAAACTCTTAAAAGCAGGGCTTAAATAAGGAGACAGGAATGAACATGAAATTCATCTAAATGTATTTCAAGTTCTATGACTTAGCCTGAGCATTCAGTGCACCTGAGATGTTAATCTGCACACATTTTCTCTCTTTCTCTTCTTTATACTGTCTGTTGTGACAAATGAAGAAAACAAAGTGTCAGTGATGGAGGGAGATTGTGCCAAACTAAACACTGATGTTAGTGAACTACAGAGAGATGCTCTGATACTGTGGATGTTCGGCCCCAAAGACAATCTCATAGCTAAAGCTGATATAGAGAATGAGAGGACATCTACATATGATGGTGTTGGTGGGAGATTCAGAGACAGACTGGAGCTGGACCATCAGACTGGATCTCTGATCATCACAAACACCACAATCACTGACTCTGGACTTTATAAACTCAAGATCATTAGCAGCAGAGAGACCAAATATACGCAATTCCGAGTTACTGTTCATGGTGAGTGGCTCAAGTTAATGATCAGTGATCAGATCCCTGTGAAGATGCACACAGTTTTCTACAAAATAAAATCCAATTTCAGTAGATAAATATATAATCTGCTAGTAATGTTTAGTACAAATTTCTAAAATAAAAATGGTTTAGTTCAAAGTTAGAAGTCATCCATTCCCCAGTATTAAAAAGAAAACATAAACATATATAAACAGTCCATATAAAAAAGACTGATATTTAACTTAAATTTGTCTTTGATCAGATACAAATCCCTGATTTCCACACTCTTTATATCAGTGTATTGATAAAAATATATGATTTTTACACTCTTTACATCGGTGTATTGCAGATGTAGAAACACTAACACACTACATGTAGTTTCAGCATCAAGTCATTGTCTCTACACCATCTGTGATTCTTTCTTTCTTCTTTTTTTACAGGGAACAGAGGGAGAGAGATAAACAGAGAAGATGCTGTGGGATCCTCTCCGAGAGAAAACTCAGAGCAGATAGCATTGCTTCAAATGAACATCGGCACTAGTGTTTGACAGATTAATCTTATTCCACTTTTAAAATAAATCAAACAAATTTTTATTTTATTTTTATGAACCACTAACATCCATCTTACAAACAGACACTATCTGTTTGGTGCTGTTGAGCTGTGAAATTAGTAAAAAGTCCTTTGATTTGTGGTTTTTACACCAGTATTCCCCGCCTGATGTATGTGATGACATGAAAAGCAGGTTAGCGGTAATTTGCACGTTTAACTAGTGGTGGCTGGTGCCAAAAACTTTTTGGGGTGGTGGTGTAACAAATTGAAAATCACACCGTCAGTAGCGACGGATCCCTTGTGAAAAAAAAGTGTGCTAAATTGTATTGAAAGCATTCTTTTATTTAATATGCTTCAAATTTTTATATAACTAAAATTAAAGGCCACTTAAGTGTACTTAGAAAGTACACTTTAATGAAAATATTTCTAAACACACCTAAGTGTTTAAAAATGCACTTTGTAATAATGTCTACTTAAGTTTTACTTAAAGAAAGTACACTTTCATTACAATATTTCTAAACACACTTATGTGCCCATTTTTAAAATGATTAAAATTTAATTAATGCTTTTGAAATGTATTTTTCCTCTAAACTTCAATACATTTATCAATACTTTCACCAGCTCCTGCTCTATGAACTCGACTACAAGTGTCAGTTTTCTACATAATATTTGACAATAAAATGTAATTTATGAGAGGAGTACTTTATTTGTGCTTAATTTAAGTAATGCACTGTACTTTACATCTGTGTACATGATACTTTTAACATCATTGTTGGTATAAGTCAATTAAACACATTTAATTGCATTAATTGCAAGCAAAGGATTAACAAATCTAAACAAAATTAATTTGCATTCAAATTCAATTTGAATCAGACTACACTACACTGTAAAAATGATTGATTTTTAGGTAAACTTCTAGGTGACGTTCTGTGAACTCAGAGTCTAACTACACAATGAGTTAGAACAACTTTAACTTGAACAGAAATGAAAAAGCTGAAATACAGTAACATTTAACCAGAGAAGGACCTGCTGCAGCCTGCACATCCGGTTGACACGCGCAGCCCTGCCTCGATCTGCAAGATCAGAGTAAATGATCTGATCTCAAGTACACCTGCTGCAGCCTGCAAAGGCAGATCATCAATATAATGTAGACAAACAGATTCATTCAATATCAGTCATGTGTGGAGTAAAATATAGTTTATAGGCAGTTAAAGCATTGAGAAATTTAAAACAGAAAGCCCAAAAGGCAAACATATTACCTCATGGATTTCAGATAAAATTATAAAATGACCGCTTCCCGATGCAAATGCAATCAGCAGACAAAAGTATGATAGTTGATAAAATAAGACAATAAAAGAATGATAGTTGATCAAATATAAAAAGTAACAATAACAATGTATTAATAAAAATGTAACATTTAATCAATAATTACCCAAAGCAAATACAAAAATGTGAAAACTAATGAGATGGATCTGTCTTCTTGCTTAAAAGAAGGGATGGGTATCATGGGTATTGAAATGGGTATGTTAACAGTATTACTCTTAATGCTGCTGATTGACCCGGTACTTTAATGGGTTTTAGGAGAGAGAGAAAACCCAGCAATAAATTAAGAACAGAATTAATACGACTTTTTATTCTGAAATGTAAAATAAACAATATACAGCAAAAGAAACAGCATGTTTGAACAAATTACTATTATAAAAAAAAAAACCTTAATGAATATAAAACATCTATTTGTAAATGCACTAGTATAAAGGCATTTTTAGTGTTAGATAAGTTTATATACTGTATAATTTTTATACTAAAGTGTAGACTGGGAATTAAGCTTTTATCCCTGTTGTTAAATCACGGGACCGAACACCAGTTATTTTGCCAAGAGATCAATTGTTATTATTTATTATCAATTGTTAAGACATAGGAGAGAAAGGCAATTTACTGGAGAAATTACGACTTTATGTCCAGCTTTCTCACTTTCTCTGAGTTCATACACAAACTTTGTGCGTTTATATGCTGACCAAAGGAACTTGCATTATTCTTACAAAGTATAACACCCAGAAACAACGTACAAACAACAAACAAATACAAAAAGAAATGAAAATGAAATAAACACCTTTCAATAAGGTCTAAAAGTAGTATTCAGGTAAATAATATATAGCCTACAAAAGAAATTGAATTGATTAATCAAATTAATCAAATGTAAAATAACACTGCATAGTCTTCACTGTATAAATTGATGGATTAATGTTTATTAAAGCTATAAAGGATTCAGTCATGAGCATTGAGTGATATTTTTCTCTTTTTCTTTTGTTGTTTGATTAACATTAATGACAGACAGTAGAAGGTTTATTAGGCTACTGTCACTTTAAGAACTAATGCATGGATACTATATACAGACACATCAGATTTTATCCCAACTATTTACATCCACTTAACATAAATGACTGTGTTTAAGTGAATACTTGCCAAGTCGGTCATTTTGTCTGTTTATATTTGACCTTTAAGGCCCAAAGTACTTTGTTTGCGTCCCACTCCGTCTTTAGCAACAGTAGACTGCATTTTACGACAATCACTATTTTAGATGACAGGTTAAGTTTGAGCTTTTAGGGAGGAACGAAAGCATTGTGAAGGAAAGGAAGGTGCGCTAGACGGGATGCAGCATAATAATCACTTTAACTCAAAATTCTTGTTTTTATAATTCTTGGAAGCCAAACTCAAATTTGAAAATAAAATTAGAAAAGCCCTAAAGTGCAAGAGAGATCTCTCTTCTGGGTTGTGAATAACGGAAACTAACGGAAATTAACAAACATAGGGAATACAACTTCAGGGGAGAGCTAGGCCAAAATAACAAACAAAACTTAACTAATCCAAAATTATTATTAAATTTACCTACAGTAGAACATGATAATCCTAAAAAGAAAATACATTAAACTTCCCTCTCTTCCTATATGCCCATAAACAGGAGGGGGGAAAAAGAGAAGTACAAACAAAAATGGCACCCTCCCCCTACATTCCCTTACTTCAAAAGAATAATGAGAATACTTAGACAAACATACTTGTTACGACCCTTGGCTCAAGGGAAGCAACAAAAACAAGGGACACACGTAAACCAAATTGTAGGCTCAAAAGTAATGTTTATTTAACTACAAAAGTAATACAAAACTAAATAATAAAATTAAAACATTTAAACAAAATAGAAGTGTTTCTGTATTCATCAGCAAGATCAGTGTGTAAAGCAAGATGCATGGTCGAAAGTGTAATGCAATGTTGAAGTTGAAATGTAAATGCAAAAAGTAACAAAATACAACGCAAGCAAAAGGCAAAGTCCAAAAGCAAAGTCCAAAACCAAAGTTCCCTCTCCCTTGGCTCAGTTGGTGATCTCTTAAGAAGCGTCTAAGGCACGGTCACAGGTGTTTCCAGTTGACTGCCAATTGAGGCAATTAGTGGGCTCCGGTACCAAACTGCAATTCTCAAAAGCAGTGGCAGAGGTCGTCACACCCCTCCCCATAAGACAGGGACTCCCACAAAGATCCCTGTAACAAAACAAACAAATCTCAATAAACAGGCAAAGTATACACCCAAGTACAGGGCCGAAGACAGCTCCCAAAAACGCCAAAGAGAATAAATTCAAATCCAATAGATTAGAGTGCATCAGGAGCGCGTGACAGCGCATCAGCTACCACATTTTCCGATCCTCGTATATGTCGAATATCCAGACAGAAGGATTGCAAAAATAAGGACCACCGAACCAACCTCTGATTCGGACACTGCAAAGAGTTGAGAAAGGTTAATGGATTATGATCCGTGTAGATCACAATAGGTGCACAGGAATTAAGATAAACAGAAAAGTGCTGCAAGGCCCAAATAAGGGCTAACGCTTCCTTTTCGACCACAGAATAATTACGTTGGTATGTGTTAAACTTTCTCGAAAAGAAACTAACTGGATGGTCTACTCCATCCACATCAGATTGCTGAAGGACAGCTCCAGCTCCAACATTACTGGCATCGACGTGCAACGTGAAAGGTTTGTCAAAGCACGGAGCCATAAGCACAGGCGCTGAACACAGCAAGGATTTCACGTTCTCAAAAGCCAATTCGCAACTGTAAGACCATAAAAACTTCGTCTTACCCTTTAACAAGTCGGTCAACGGTGCCACCACCGTAGAAAAATTGACAAAAAGATCGATAATATCCTACCAACCCTAAAAACCTCATAAGCTCTTTCTTTGTCGTTGGGGAAGGAAAATTCTGAATGGCTTGCACTTTAGCCTGTATCGGACGCACTTCGCCGTTCCCTACCACCTTCCCGAGATACGTCACGGTCGCCTTCGCAAACTCACATTTGGCCAAGTTCACTGTAAGTCGAGCATCAGACAAACGTCTCAACACCGAACGCAACCGTTTTAAATGAGACTCCCAACTATCACTAAAAACGACTAAATCGTCCAAATAGACGGCACAACCCTCAAGGCCACAAATTACTCGGTTCATGAGGCGTTGAAAAGTCGCCGGAGCATTTCGCAGGCCAAAACTCATGACCCGGTAAGAATGTAATCCTGACGGAGTGACAAAAGATGAAATTTCTTGTGCTCTCTTGGTTAAAGGCACCTGCCAATAGCCCTTCAGCAAGTCAAACTTGCTGACGAACTTGGCTGAGCCAACCTGGTCCACACAGTCCTCGACGCGGGGCAAAGGAAAACAGTCCGGTTTTGTTAATGCATTAACTTTACGGAAATCCGTACAAAATCTTACAGTACCGTCCGACTTTCCAACTAAAATACACGGGGAAGCCCATTCAGAAAAAGAAGGTACTGCAATATCGTGATCCTGCATATACTTAATTTCCCTCTCCATCAATTCCCGTTTTTCAGGTGCAACACGATAAAAACGCTGTTTAATAGGTTTTGCATCCCCAACATCGATATCATGTTCAACCCAATCTGTACGCGATGGCACATCATCAAATAATTCGGGAAAACTATGTAATAGGTCACATAACTC